GGAAGAGTTTGGACAAAGGATGAATATATATCCAAAAAAGTGGATTTATCTACATCTCAAATCCCACCGGATCCTGAAAACTTGAAATTAAAATTAAAAAAAAATGTCATTTAATTAAAATTCAATCTTGTCTGGTTTTGCTTAGATGGAAATACAGATTCGACTTAAACAAAGCAAATTGGAATGCGAATTAGATTAAATCCAGTCCATTTGCGTCTCTAGTAGTTAAAATTAAAGAAAAACAAAAAAACAAGGTACCAATCAGTAGGTCAGTAAGGTCTTCTATTGGTTGTAGTAGAGATTTGGAATCAAATCCCTTCTACACCTAAATTAGGGGACAGGCTACCCCGTTGTTCAAAAGAAATAATTGCAAGTGGAAAATGCTACTTAATGCAACCAATTATCATCAGGATGGTGTTTGGTATTGATGTAGTTTTTGGAAGAAAGGTGCTACCTCAGCATTGAAGATGTATTTAACAAAAAAAATGCCTAAAAAGTTATTTGGTTGAGCCGCTTATCTGATAAACGGCTCTCTCAAAAATCGTATGAATCGTTTATTAAAAAAAATACCAATTTTGATGTTTTTCATTTTCAATACCGATTTTTCACTGTTTGGCTTATATGGCGCCTAATGGCGTGTAGTGGCACCTAATGGTGCTGAGGTGTAAAAAAATCATACAAAACATTCAAAGTAAAAATCATACAAAACATTTATCTTATAAAAACCATCGGTACCAAACAACCTCTAGTAATGAACCTTTAAAACTCAACTTGGAAATTGATAAGACGGTTTGGAATTGTTAGATTAGTTTAAGTAACTTTATTTCTAAAATGGTACATCTGTTTTATATTTTATAGTTTTTTTTTTTAATATTGACCAATGCATTGACTGGCTTGGTGGTTCCAGTCTTGACTTTTTTTACGATAAAGGTAAACCGGTTCGGTTGATATGGCCTCTAGCTGGTTGTAACATTGGCTTGGTATCGAATCCGATATTCAGGGAGTGTGATATAGGAATAGCAACGGGGTGGGGCGGTGTTGGATTTTGTATGGCCCCGTCGTCTTCAACCCCGAACTTAAATACACTTCCCGGAATTCCATTAGAGCTAGAAATTTCAACTCCATCTCTATTCTCATGGGAAATGGGGATCTCTGAATTTGTCCGGCACCACTGAAACCTACCTCCTACAGCTATATATATGTAGACAGTTTCGAGGCTGGGTCGGGGTAGGATGGACAAATACTATTTTGGTAGTATTTGGCTTGTGGTTCAAAATAAGTATGGTTGTTTTTTAGAACTACACCACCTACTTTAAAAATGAAAATATAAGTTCTGAACTTAAGCATTCTGTTATGTATGGTTGCATTTTATTAATGGTTTTGTTTTTTTTTTTTTTTTATATTATCAACTTTTCTATGTAACTCACATGTAGAAGTAATTCATCTATCACCATTCAACTTTGATCATACAACCATTTGTTTATCATATGTTACATATATAGATATACCATTTTATAGAATATAACTTGAGATGCATAGAATCACTTGGCAATCCTAAGGCTCTTAGTCTTCTTTTTGAACCAAGTGGTCATGTTCAAAAAGCCATCTTCCATAGTGTTCACAAAATGGGGATTTGGCTGATTTTGAAATCATAATTTATTACACTGGGGATTTCCTACCCACTCTTTATCCGCAGTGAATTAGAGCCACACATCTCTACTATGAATTGAGAGATGTGCGACTCCAATTCACTGCAGACAGAGAGTGGGTAGGAAATCTGGGCTCAATTTATTAGTTCTAGAACCAATACAAAATGAAAATGACTTTTAAAATACTAAAACTATGTTTGATTTGAAAAAAAAAAATAGGGAAAGGAAAGGTAAGGAAACATTTACAAACCTTATATAGGTTTTAATATATTTCTCTTCCTTTCCCTAGCTTTTCCTTCAAACCAAACAAAGACTAATTGTGTTCGTGAACTAGATAGAACATGAACACAACTACGGAAAGATCACTCCATTTATATTTTTATCATTTCACATGCAACCAAATGCAATTTAATTGTCATCTTCTATTTTTCTAGCCCATATTTTGCCAAGTTGTAAGCAGGTAAACTAATTTGGAATTTCCATATCTTACATGTATATCATTCATCTTTATTTAGGGTTCATTTGGTTTACAGGACTGGAGATTGAACTGAAATAGGTCATTCCAATTGTTTGGTCGGGCAGAATTGAAATCCCATTCTCATTCCCGGTGGAATGACATTCCCCTATTTGAAGGAATAACCATTCCTTCCCTCCTTTTGGAATGAAAATCCATCCCAACTGATTTCAGTTTCGATTCTGATTCCCATCTGAACCAAACAAACAGGAGAAACAGACCATTCCAATGGATTCCGATTCCAATTTCAAACAAACCGAACCAAATAAATCCTTATTAATTAATTTATATTTTTCCCAAAAGAACGCTAGTAAACAACAAACTTATGCCACTTTTACCTGCCATACCATTCAGATGAGGAGGAACTAGGAATCATGCCTGATCTTGGCTTGTGTTATGTTCCCTTTTCTTGGCTCCTACAATTTCTCTCAAGATTTGTATTCAGCATTATCCCCCCACCCCCACTAAAAAAACACAGACTAGGCTTGCCAACAGGTCAGGAATAAGTAGACCCCGTTCTGAGCCAATAATACAACATAGAACCTAGAGTCTTGTTCCGCACTCTATAAAATTCTCTTGCCATCTATTGTCAAAATATCATGCACATCCCCTATAAAATTACTCTTATCAGTCCTGCTAGGGCACCGGAAAAGGTGTGGTACCAAACAAATTGAAAATCAACCACGAGGCATTTTCCGTCAATTTTTAAAGGAGATTTTGATTGATTGAAGTATTTTAGGTATTGTGCCTTTCTTGTGGTACCATGAAAATTATTCCTTCATTATCATCATTCTCATCATTCGAGCCTTATCCTAACTATATGGAAGTATATGGTGTGGATCAAGAGAATACAGCCATACAGGCTCCTCACAGCACATCCCAATACGACACGGAGATTGTTTTTAATGCATAATGGGATGTGCTGCACTGCTGCTCTTGCTCTTGGGGATCCAATTTCAATTCTTATTGGCTACACATTCTATTCTGTTTAATGCCATTATCCATTATGAAATTATGAGCATTGAAAAGTACTTAATCTCAAATATTTTATACTAAATTATTACAAATAAACCATACAATGAGAAACATGTATCAAATGCATCCGGGGGCATCTTTATTATGTGCTAAGTACTTACAAAATCAGTTTGTTTCTTAATTGGAGAGGAACAATGGTCCCATGTATTTGGATATATTGAGTTAAACTAGACCATTGATAGGCATTTGTTGCTTCAATGAATTAGGTTTTGTTTAATTAGATTTAGGGGCTGCAACTTGGGCTGGGTTAGTCTGTATTCGACCTGATCAGATTGAAGTTTGGATAAGGGTTAACATATCCTATTAGAAAGGCTTTGACCAATCATAACCCTCCGTGAATTTTGGTGAAAATCCACTTGATTGATTCCTAATTTTATGATGCTGGCCAATTGGTCGTAAGTTTTTTCGGCATCATATTAATTTTAAAAATTATTAAAAAAATTTAACGAAATTTGGTTTGCCTATAAAAAATAAACTATAACTTTAGCATTCCTCCAAAACATAAGGCATGGGTAACAGGGTAAGAAGTGAAATAATTAGGCCAACCTGAATCCAACCGGATGCCAACCAAAGCCGAAGTCATTGAGTTGGAGTTACGAATAAGGTTGGGACCGAGTTTAACAATTGGGGTTGGGTCAGGGTTAGTTTAAACCAACCTGATCCGGCCTGACTTGAGCCCCCAACTAGACCGGGCTTCAGTTGAACAAGATTCGTTATTAGGGGTGTCAATTGGACTGGATTTGGTCCAATCATATCCAGTCCAATGTGAGTCCATTATAAATGGACTAGGTCCAATCCAATCCAATGAATGTTTTGGAACAATTTGGACCGGTCCAATTCAATGCCTGGACTGTCCAATATGTTCAAATTCATTTTGATTTAAATTGATTTCAACCCAAAGCCAGTCCATTAATATATATATATTCTTATTTTATATCAATGGACCAGATAGTGGCTTAATCCAACCCAATCCAATATAAATTTATTACGGATGGACTACGTCCAATCCAATCTAATAAATATTTTATACCGGATTGATCCAATCCAAAACCGATCCATTGACACCCTTATCCGTTATTGCAAGCCCGACGCTAATCCATCTGTCATTTAAATGAATTCCAGGGTCAACCCAAGTAGATGTAGAAGTAGAACACATTCACTTCACGTGTAGAGGAAAGGAAGGCTTTCGTTTCACAGGTTATATACATAAAACGTAACATAACCATCTCCTAAGTTCTGATCAATTCTGACAGCGAAACAAACCTATGAACTCTCTAGTTACATATAAACATATTCATACATAAGATTCAGATTGGAGCCCGAATCTCTTACCCACATTTATCGCAGTCACACATGAAAAATATTTCATTCTCTACATAGTATTATGAAGAGGGAGATATTCTCAATTCACGGGGATAGTGTGTTGTGGGTAAACGTGGGCAGGTGATATTGACCATCACCACCTCACCACAAAACACGATCCGTCCAAAACGAAAGAAGCTATCTGCTTGTCTTTTTCTTTTAGGCGGAAGCGACGAATACACAGTTGCCACCTGGCAAATATAGGGTGTATTGCATCTCCGCTGCTCCTCTGCACCATGATGTTCATCATCGTCATCATTGCGAGGGAATCAACCTTCAGTCTTCACGTCTTCACCGCCTAACCCCTCACGTGCAACGAAGATGGCAAACTTTTATTAATTATTTAACGAGGAAGAAAAAAAAAAACAAAAAACGCGACGTAATTATAAATCTGTCCGTTAATAGACAAAAGAGGGATAATAATTTGGTTATTACAGAATAGAATCTCAGTGGCATTAACGTAATTTTTCCTTCAATTTATCGAACAAACAAACCATTTCGCATCAGAGCAACTGAGGAAGAATGAAAGCTTGCTGTGGAGGAAACCAGCAAATCTCGAAGGGTCAGTTATTTTGTCATCCGTTTGTTCTATCTTTAAACTCTTTGGTCCAAGGGAAGTAGCCTCTTCAAAGGATTAGGGTTTCCGCTACTTGATCTATCTCTCTCTCTCCGATCTACTAGTCGTTTACCCATCAATTCACCGAGTGCTACAGATCCGATGAGTACTTGAATCTGCATTTGCCACGTATTAGAATTGGGAGCTTAACTTGTCTCTGCTAGAAATCTTCTCGAAATTCGAGATCTCAATCTTACAGGGCGAGGTCAACCAACAATCATCTGTTCCACGATCTTTGACTTGGACGGCGGTAAGACCACGACGATACTGCCAATGCTTTCAAGAGAAAATTCTATTAATAACCTACATCTAGATATCTTCTCAGTCGGTGTTTCTGGTTTCTTTGGGTTTTAAAAACTCAAAAGACATGTGAGAGAACGGAGGTTATATATTTACAGGGTTTAGATTCTGGAGTTTCAAGGCTTTGAGTCCATATGCAAGCAACTGGTGTATCCCTCACTAAGCTGGATGAGAGAATTTAACTTTTAAGAGGTTGCTGAATTTAGATAGAGTGGGGCTTACCTTCTTCATGTCTTGGGTTAGTATTGGGATCTCTGCCTGCTAAATTCTAGGGTTTCGTTACTTCTGACTTCTGAGATATCAGGGCCAGGGGTTTGTTACTACAAACAAGCTATGTAATTCTTCGCTTTTGTGGAGAAACAACTGCTCGGCATTGTTATTCTGCCTTCCCAATTCAAGCAGCAGGGCAGTTCGGTCTCATTTCCTTTTCACTGAGGCTAAATATTTGGTTCCTTGCGGTCAGATGAAGGGAACCTCGTTTGTTTGCTATTGGATTCCCGAAAAGGTTTTAATTGGGTTTCCTGTATGACGATACCATCGAGGTCACTCACATAGAAATAATAGTTTACTTCAGCAATTTCCTACCGGACTTGAACATAATCCATGTTTTTGCCATCTAATGTCGCTGGACATAGTTTTAGTTTTTCTGTAAGGACCATGTTCTGAGTTGCGTTTTCACCGCTGTGCCTGAGCAGTATGTACATTATAAAATTGTTGGGAGAACGAGGGCTTGATTATTGCCTAGAATGGAAAAGTTAGAGTGAGATTTGTGGAAGACTTGGTTGCTGAAGATGCCTCCTTCTCCAGCATTGAGGTTCTCTCCTGGAAGGGAGCTCAGAGCAGAGACTCACAAGAGAGGACGCAGTCTTGAGAGCGGATTGCTCCTTAGAGAAAAGGATGATAACCTTGCTTTGTTCAACGAGATGCAAGCCAGAGAGAAGGACAATTTTTTGCTTCAGTCTTCCGATGATCTTGATGACTGCTTCTGTAATTCCAAAACCTAACCTCCATCTTAGTTTCAATGCTTGGCTTACCTCTTTATTTTTTTTCCTGCTTTGTTTAATGGCACATCTCTGTGGTCCTGATGCTGCTGATAATACTGACCTTTCATTTTTTTTTTAAATTCTTCTTCTGTTCTTCACAGCATCAAAATTGAGATACTTCTCAGATTTCAAGCTAGGCATCTCCATTCCAGTTCGAGGAGAGAGTAGTGACCTGCTTAATGCAGATGGCGATAAAAACGATTATGACTGGTGGGTTGCATTCCTACTATTTTGGTCCTCTAATCATACTGTGAAACATCTGTCTATTGTACAATAATTTACAAACTTGCTCATAGTTCCCAATTAAACACAACAGAACAAAGAGAAATTTAATGGTGCTTAGCCTTTTTCAAAGGTTCCTGATTCAGTGTCAACAGTCTGCTACAATGTTTCTTTTTTTTTTTTTTTGCTAATTTCCTATTTTGTTCAATTTGAAATGATTTTCTTCACTTCCACCAGTAATATTCCATTCATTGTACTGATGAAATTTTTGGTCTTTGGTGTTGTTGATTGAACTGAAGGTTATTAACTCCTCCTGACACTCCTCTTTTCCCTTCGCTGGATGATGAGACTCCACCAGTTAATATTGCTCCAAGGGGCAGACCTCGAAGTCAGCCCATTTCCATCTCAAGATCAAACACGGTGTGTTATTAGATGTCTTTATTGGAATATATTCGTGCCATTCCTCCTTTCTTGTCTATATTCTCCAAATAAATGCTACAAAGTTCAGATTCTGCATTATTTTTTTGCTGACATTGGTTATGCATATCTGCATGTAGATGGAGAAAAGTTACAGGAACAGTAGAAGTAGTGCAAGTCCACATCGGCTAAGCCCATCCCCTCGGTCCAGCAATGGAACATTTCGGTCAAGAGGAAGGCCTTCTTCAGCTCCTCATTCTAGTCCAACTCCTGGTTTACGGCAATCTACACCATTGCAGAGACCATCCACTCCCCCAAATAAACCTGCAACAGCTGCACCCAGGTCTTGTACTCCGACTCCCCGGAGGATGAGTACAGGATCAACTGGTATTATGGTTTCATCTGGGAGAAGGGGAACCTCTCCTGTGAAGTCTAGTCGTGGGAATTCTGCCTCACCGAAAATGCGGGCATGGCAAGCAAATATCCCTGGTTTTTCCTCAGATGCACCTCCAAATCTTCGTACTTCTCTAGCTGATCGGCCAGCATCATATGTGAGAGGGTCTTCACCAGCATCCAGGAATGGGAGCGATGCCTCCTCAAAATTTAGGAGGCAGTCAATGTCACCAACTGCTTCTAGAAGTGTTAGTTCATCACATAGTCACGATCGCGATCGATTCAGCTCTCAGAGTAAGGGTTCTGTAGCATCATCTGGTGATGATGATATAGACTCTTTACAGTCTGTCCCTATGGGCATCGCGAACCACTCAGCTATTAGGAAGATTGGGGCATTTCCAAGTAGCAGAGGTCCAGCATTTTCAAAGAAGCCATCCAGAACGATTTCCTCAAGTTCTGCCCCAAAAAGATCATTTGATTCTGCACTTCGACAAATGGTATGTTGCTTATTGTCCAATTCATTTTAATCATGCAAACAATATCTCTTATTGCCAAATTTGAGCACGTAAGAAATTTAGCAGATGGCAAAAAAATTTGCCCCATTTAGTTGATTTCTCAAAGAGTGGCCAAATTAGGACTTAAGACACTGGCCGGTTCCACCTAGCATCGCTTGAGTGGCTTCTTGTTTTTTACTTGTTTACTATAAAGCTCATGCTAGACCTTTTATTATCTAATTATAATACATGGAGCAATAATTTGTTTCTCAATAAGGTTAATTAATGTAAGTTCATTCAGATTTCCTTTTTCTGTAATCTTGGAAAATTAATAGAATTAAGCTCAACATATATTGGGATAAGGAACTATAAAGGAAGAAAAGGGACAAACTAAACCATACTATTAAAAGGTTATATTTGTTGTTCCGTCTCTTTCTGAACTGTTTTGTTTCTGTGGGGCTGTTCGATAATGGCTGAAGTGGCCGAATGGGATGACTTATTGCTTTGAGTCATTAAGTAGGTTTGAGTAACTTAATGGCCAAATGACATGTTGGGTTAATTACTATTACCCCCTAAATACTTTTGTTTGATCTTCTAACAAAACAATAAGCCACTCAGGTCAATTACTTCATTTTGTTATCAAATGGCATCTGAACCTTCCATTTATTTGATTGGATCAATCTGGTTGTTTTCTACCTGCAAGAAAAACGAACTTCATTATGCAGTTAATTGTATTATCAATATTGTTCACATTAAGCCTTTTCTTTTTCTTATTCTTTTTGTTCTTTTCTACTTGTTTTATGATGATGGTCATCATTATCATCCAAGCCTTATCCCAACCATATGGAGGCTACATGAATCCTGTCTCACCATTCTGTTCTGTTAATGCCATATCCATTGTTAAATTATGGGTGTTTAAACCATTCTTACTACTTTGATCCATGCCCTTTTAGGTCTACCCCTAGCCCTTCTAGCTCCTTCAACTTGCAACATCACTTCTTTGACTCAAGCTATGGTAGGGATATAAATTTGATGTTTGTACAACACAGGCTACTTTTTGACTGAAGTTATGGGCATTAATCTTTATTTGTAGACAAGAATCTTAATGAAACCAAATATTTACCAATGCAGGATTACTTTAGTACAGAAAATTATGGTTTGGCCTCACATTCTTTATTTTTTTATGTATAATGTAGGATCGTCGAAAAAGCCCTCAGAATATGTTCAGGCCACTCTTGTCCAGTGTTCCCAGTACCACCTTCTATGTTGGGAAATCAAACTCTGTACATCAACCTATGATCTCTAGAAACTCCTCAGTCACAACTAGCAGTAATGCAAGCTCTGAACAAGGGACCACTATTGCACCTGATATTGAGGGTACTGACCATGACCATGACCGGGATGATATAGCAAGTGAATTGGGAAATTCCCTGTATCCTGATGCCCAAGAAGAAGTATTTGTCTTTGATAAGGTGGATGAGATAAATGAAGATGTTGAACATGAAACCATTGATGGAAAAACTAACATCAAGCAGGCTGACTTCAATAGAGGCACTACCCTTGAAGTACAATCAGGTGAATCTGAACATTTTAGCAGTTCTAATGCTGCTACTGCAATTGCCTCAACTAATTCTGAACCTATCAATGCTGAGAGTGATCCCTTAGAAGTTGATTGTCATGAAAATTTGTTATTGTGTTCCATATGTGGAAGCAAATTTCGCTTCGTTGAGTCTATGGAAGGGAAAGATGGTCTTTGTCCAGATTGCAGTGAGCAAACTAGATCTTGTACTCTGGCCATTCCCAAAAACACAAAATTTGTCTCTCAAAATACTGTTACAGTTCAGTCTGAGATGAATGTGGGAGAAAATAAATCCTTTCATGAAGTGAAGTTGGAAAAAGAAGTGCCAGAATTTCAAGAAAGTCCTACCAGGTGTGGAACCATGGCTGTTCAGTGTGAAAATAATATCTTACGAGACAGAAGTTGCAATTTTGATCAATCTCAGAGTTGCTTGCCAGACAATTCTGTTCCAAGATCAATCATGGTGATGGAGGAAGGGAAGCAGCATTCCATAAATCAGCAGGTGGTTGATCAGACAACAGTTGTTTCCTGCCAATCTAACAGTGACACTGCAGACAGGCAATTTCAGCATTCCAGTAACCATTCCGAAGTAGTTGCTGAGATGCCAGTTGGTTCCAGCCAGTCCAACAATGACATTGTAAACCAGCAGTTGCAGTCTTTTAATAACCATGCAAGCTTAAAAGTTGATGTTTCAGAGGGTGCAGGTATCTCTGTACTGCTGAAAAGATCTAGTAGTAGCAAGTGGCCTGTTGTTCAAGGGAGGTCCTTCACTGCTACTAATATACCGTATGATGACCCCTCCTATGCAAGAGAGAGTGTCAACAGTATGAGGAGCTCAATTGGGCATGGCAGTGCTTCAGCATCATCATCTGTTGATTGGAGCTCAAGCAGACAAACAGAGGCTCGTGTCCATAGGCAGTTAAGTGGCAGGAAGGCTGACCTGGAAAATTCAAGGCACGATTTAAACCTGAAACCTCACAGTACTGGATCCTCTTCTTCTGGAATCTCAAGTCATGCACATCAAAATGCATTCATTGCCAAGAGCACAAGTGAAGAAACTTCTGACATGTCTGTTGGTAATATGGAATACGAAGCTGTTGAGGAGATGCCACTAGTTTCTGATGAGGAACACACAGATTCAAAAAATGCAGAACTAGAGACTCTGGATTCATCTGTTGTCAGGCCATCTTATTTTGAGGATAATAAGATTGAGTGCACAGAAAGTTGCAGAACGGAGGATGTTTCTGCCTCAGAATTATCAAGCTGTACACTGGGCATTAGATTGGGGGATACTTCAATAGCAGCATGTCCAATTGATAAAGACTGTGTTTCATCTGGGATTGTTGATGACTTCCCAAACAAAACAAGAAGTGTCTCAGATATAGATGCACTAGCTATCACTCCAGATTCCTCTTTCAGAAAGGAGATTGATATGCTGAACAGTGTCTGTAGCATTGATGATGTTGATGCTTCTGGTGATAATTCTCTAGTTACCATATCAGGAGAACTAGAAAATGGCCACACACAAAATGATGATGTTGTCTCTCCAAATATGAAGAGAACCATTGATGAATCCTTGGAGCATCCACTTGCCGTAATGTTAGAGGAGGACAAACCCAATATGTCAGATCATTGCCATGGCATTCTTGGTATGAACTTCTTGCATGTTCAGCTTTTTTGACCTATTTAGTCTTCCTTTTAATTAACTCGATACCATTATTGTGCTTTTCTGTTTTATGTTTCTGAATTGGTCATGATGCTGATGTTTGAATTAATCCGTTGTTTGCCATACCTTGATGATGGAAAATCAGTTGGCAACTTTTTTGTCTGCTTCTTTTATGATATCCATGTTGTTGAGATTCTTCACATGCAAAATATATATTTGGGAATCCATTTCATTTCAGACCTTTTTTTATTGGTAAAAGAATATTTTATTGATAGATAATGGCAAAACAAAAAAGAAATAGAAAGCTAACATCAGGACATGTTTTTTTGGTAGTAAAATAAATTTTATTAAAAAAAAAGAAGGAATACGAGGGTGACCAGAAGTCACCCGAGAGAGAAAAGAGACAAGAAAAGCCAAAAACCCTCCCAACTCTCATCTACTCAAAACCCCACCATACAAGGGATAGATATCATATACCAATTTACCGACCAAAACCAACAAACAAAGCACCAAAAAACACAATTATAACCCATATAGGAAAAAAAAAAGGCCATTACCAAATGTTTATTCTGGCTATCCAAAGTCCTGGGAGGGGTGGACTGGATATGGACCTAAATTTTGGCATTTTTAACTAGATGGGAGGTTTAGGCATTTGTAGAGATTGATTTGCTGGACTCTCAATTGTTTTGACCTTTTCAAACCCCAAAGTAAAGAAACCAAAATTAGGGAATAAGGAGCTGACTCAAAAAGGTCATTCATATCAATTCAGTCAAAGCTTTGAATTGCCAATCAATGTTAACTTACATATTATATTTATCACTTTTTGTGATGTTAATTGGCATTATTGTCTAATTGAGAACAGTTTGTTGCCTTCTTGTTGATTTATACTTTGTAACACTTTCATGCTTTTTAGTTTAGCAAGGTAAGGCTTTGGTATTTCTTCCATTCATGTACATATACTATGGACTTAACAAATCCTTCTAACCTGGGAAAACTGTTCTTTCACCATTGCTTGGTCAAATGGTGAAATCTCCAGCTGACAAACATGAGAATGGGGCTTAGACTCAAAAAAAAAAACATGAGAATGGGGTTCACGTCTGAGAACATCTATTTCAATTTAAAGAAAAAAGAAAAAAAAGGCCAAATGTCAGGTTGGCATCCAGTCGACCCCTCCCATGACCCCAGATAACTCAGACCAACATTGGGTAATGGTCTTTCGTATCTTTTCTGAAATAATAGTAGGGGTCTCAATGACATGCTGCAAACAAAAAGCTATGCACATATGGATTCATTGTCAGCCACAAAGTTAACCCTTAAGGTGGTGAAGCAATATCTAATATATGAAATCACCATGGTTAAGAATATGGTTGATGGATTTTGCTTTCAGCTCTTCATATGAATTACAAATTTGAGATTATTTTCCTTGTATATTAAATGAACCATCCTGATTATATTGCCCAAGGAATATTATCCACCAAAAAGAAAAAGAAAAATGACAGTTTTGGGGGATCGAAAGGCCTCCATATGAACTTTTAAGGAAATATTTTCCTCTACTTGAGCAAGAGTAAGAAGAAACAATAACCTAATTGAGGAATTTCCTTACCCCGTAGCTCAGTCTTCTGGTCAGACCATAATAGCTCTTGAACCCATGTATGATGGAAAACAAACTCAGGTTTAAGTTCTAAACTACCCAAATAAGTCTCATTCTAGTAGGGGTTTTAAACAAAATCCCACTGAAAAAAAAAGGAAATAGATGACATTACAGAACTAGGTCAAAGTCAAATTAATTCAAATTGCAAGAATCAGAAAAAAGTGTAAGATTCATGAATAAAATAGTAAGATCCAAACAATGGCATTCTTTTCTTTTTCAAAAATGATCCAATCATAAGATTCAACTAGGAACCCTTGGAGTTGACAACTATTATTTACTATAAAAAATAAAAAATAAATAAAACTCTATTGATCTAACAGAGAGATTCACCTCCCAGATTTGAACTTCTTGTTAATAATTTCACGTGCATCCCTCAGGAATTTATTTTGGCAGTTTTTGCCCTCTCCTACCCCCACTGAAAAGCATTCATGCTTTGCTGTCCTTTATTTTCTTTCTTTTACAGGCATGTGTTTAGCTTGCTGAAAATTTGGTCGGATTTCAGTTTCATTTGGTGTGAACAGAATCAAAACCATGTGATTTTGGTTTGAGGCTTTCTGGATGAAATTTGAAATTTGTCTATTAAGTTTTTGTGGTGTGATTTTGGGGAAATAGTCAAATTTAATAGAAAAAAAAAGATATACATATTTAAGTATAAATGTGTATATACATTAAAAGAAAAAGTCCTTCCAAGTCACCAAAAAATAACTTCTCAAAAAATTCTAATTGACAAAAAATAGAACACCCCAGAATTACAAAATTGTCACTGGTGAGGGAGTCTGGGGAAATTTTTTTTCTTCTGTTTCTTTATCTTTTTCTATTTCTTCATCAAAATGTATATTCAAAACTGTGCTTTTGCTCCATCTATGCTCCAAAACCATGAAGCTTTTCAAATTTGAGGCTCTATTGATTTGATTCCACTTCAGCCCCATTTTGTGATCAGGTTATTACTTTACGGCTACATCAAGTGTAAAATCGTAAATATAGGTTTAGAATTAATTTAGATGTATTGGTGTGATTGAAAACTCTTTGTTTGTGGTAAGATCAGTTGAAGTCACTCTTACCTCTCTATTATCATAGATTGTTTGTTAAAGAATGAATGATGGAGTTTGTCTAACCCTTTACTCGATGCATGCCATCTGAAAAATGGAAAGGAAAAAAAAAAAAATTCTTAGCTTTCATATGGAGCAGTAAAGTTTTATGTATATTGATCGACTATTGCTTCACTTCTGACAGAAGAATCAACAATAACAGTGGAGGGCCCAGGTGGTCACAAAAAGAGGAGCTTAACATTGGATGAAGCAACTGACACCATACTCTTCTGCAGCTCCATTGTCCATAATCTGGCTCACCAGGCTGCGAGCATTGCAATGGAAAAGGAGAACTCAGTTCCCCTCGAAGGTTCCCGCCCAACGGTTACCATCTTAGGAAAATCCAGTTCTGACACCAAGGGTCCTCGTGCTAGGACTGGCAGTAAACGCACACCAAAATCCCAGAAAACCAGACATAGGCGGGTGGAATCAGACATGGAGACATCTCCAGGAAAAGTTAAGACTGATGTAAAAGCCCATGAATCCCGGATTCATGGTGCCGAGTTTCCAAACAAGGTTGACAGCACAAAACCTCCAAAGCTAGAATCCAAGTGCAATTGCACGGTGATGTGATTGAGAACCGTCCATAGTGTTCTACTCTCTCTCCTCCCCTTCGGCCCATGTGATGGTGCTAATGTTTGTATGTTGTAGATTTTTTACACGTTTTGTGGGGCAATTCACCCAGGATGCCCCATCAGTTTCTTTCTGTTTGTTCTCATTTATTTGTAAGAAAACACCACATCATGCTGGTGATATAATCATGTAAAGCTTTTATTTGTCTTTGGGGTGAATATCACTACAGGAATAGAGGTTTGTTTTTTTTCCCCTCACATTACTGGATTGTTTTTTGGTTCCCCCCTCTTTGTCACACTTCTCTTAACAACTGGAAACAAGTTTCATGGCATTCTTTTATTAATTCATTATTCAACATAAACTTCCATAGATTTGACTTTTGAGTTTTGATCTACGATGCAAATTTTGGGGCACTGGACTTTTACCATCTGTTTATTTGCGGTGTAATTTCATTATAGAATGGTCTTATTGTAGAGATCACACAGTGCCCCACATGCACATCTCTCCCGTACTTCTCATCGGGAGATATTCCCAATATCTCCCAATGAATGACAACATATAAGTTGGGAGATTTGTGAAGTTGGTGTGAGGATCATTTTGTGGGGAGCAAATCCTATTTCATAGCGAAATTCTTAACATAAACAGAAGGTGGCACTAAAGAGGTGAAGATATATCGTTCCCACAAGAGCCCAATACATGGAATGTGTATAAATTATTTGTTCTGTTTATTTGATACAAACCTGAAACAGTCTGATACACTTGATAAAAATTAGTTACTAGATAGATTTTAATGACTGTAAGTTCACCACTAGGCTACACCTATTTGTTTTTTATGATTTATACTTTTTTATTTTTAAGTAAAATTTCTCTTTTCTTAGTGGATGTTTATTAATAAATGCTAAAATTAATTATTAATATTTATATACTAATAAATATTAAGATAATTTATATTGGTTATTTGAAAATTGATGTATGTTCACATTTTAGTTTTTTTTTTTACACGTTTTATTTATTCCATCATTTTTCAATGGTTACTAATTGTGTACTGATACCTCACATTTTACATTTAAATGGCTTATTTACAATCATATAAAATTTGTAATATATTTTTTTAGGATTTATTTGAGTTTTCCTAGCATATTTATAGGGGTGCAAATTGAACAATCCCAACATGAGCCTGAACCGACCAAGCCCAAAATTTTACATATGCTAGACTTGGATTTTCGATCCTCGGGCCCAAAAAATCAGGCTTTTTTATTTTTCGGGTCTAACCCTTAGGTAACCCGAACCTTGCCCAACTATACACATTTATACATACATATATATGTAAATTTTGCATACACATTTACCTAGATACATAGATATTTGAATATATATAATTTTAGATGATTTATTGAATAACCTAAACCCGGCCTAAGCCCAAACCCAACTTAAATGTAGTGCAGAGTGTTAGGCTTGACCTCGGGCTCCGTACGGGTATACACCTTATGTGCCAATAATTTGAACCTTGCGTGTAGTCGGGGAAGGGAAAAATGAGTGGATCGGATCAACTGTTGGATCGGAATAAACTTTGGTGTGGGCCAGTTGCTTGCTGAATGTTGAGAGGAGTGGACTACAACCCCGTGGTCCTGGTCAGTGGTCACTGCTTCATTCTCATTCAACAAAAACAAACTCTCCTCCGAAAACTTTGTATATCGTTAGAGAACCAGTCTTCCTCTCTCTCTCTCTCTCTCTCTGTATAAAAGAGACAATCAAAACGAGATTGCTAAAGAAGAGGAGTTAAGGAAGCAGATAGAATGAGAATACAGGAAAGAGGCCAAAAAAGCTAGACCTGGATTGGATCTATAAAGAAAGACAGATTGCTGATTTGGAGCTTGGAGAATAACGACATTGGATGGTTGATATGGATGCTTCATCAACGTCGCTGACCCAAAACTCTTCTCCAATTCCTCCTTCACCTTCTTATTCTTCTTCCTCCATCATTACTAATTACCCTCTCATTTCTGCTATCGTTGCATTTATTATCGCGCAAGCCTGCAAGTTCTTACTTATCTGGTATTATCTCTCTCTTTCTCTCTCATTCTTTCTTTGACTTGCTTTCGTAATCTGTAGATGATCATGGATGGTTGAAAATCTATTTACTATGTGAACATCTTCTTTTTATAATTCTTCTCTTTATCGTTTCAAAATTTCTTGCAAGTATCGATTGGATTTGCAGTACAACAGTTTAATATCTGCATGAAAGTGCCGCACTAACAATGAAACAGAGGCTTGATGAAACTTTCTTGTTATTCAATCCTTTAACAAGATCAATAACATAATGTAACATTTCCTCCTAATATTTGGTTTGTGCTCGTCTGTGTTACCTTCATTAGCGACTCAATCTCCAAATAAGTTATTGCAGTTGCATAGACATAGTTGGATTCCACAAAATGTTATCGAGTTTTCTGTGTCTTGGCAGCATCCCATCCTAAATTTAATCAATCAATGTTTATAAGTACAATCTGCTTCACCAGAAAGAGTGATCGTCCTATTGGGCGTTGATAACTGCATTGAGGTCCAAGAAGTTTTATGATATTGTTTCTTTAACCTTTCAGTATTTAGCTAGTTAAAATTTTCTAATCTAAGTTTACAGTGATTTGCAAATGCCACGAGCAGAAATGCTCTTGATTCAGGTTATTAGGTGTAAGAATCTTTGTTTTTAATTTGACTAACGGCTTGCAAAGTTTATAATGGTGATTGTTACCTAAATTGTTCACACAAAATCAAAAGAAACATTTAGGACTCCTGGCACATTGGGCAATTCAGTAATGAAGAACCAAATACGCATTTCAGCATCATGCCATTTGGACATGATGTGATGCTGCATATATCTTGTATGCCTGTACATGCATCAATGGAATGTTCGAACTCTCTGTCCCGTGATCTTCTAACATCAGTACTTTAACTCAATTTCTCCTAAGAGTTATAAACTTTCATTAGATTTGCAGGTACACAGAAAGACGATGGGATGCTAAACAACTCGTAGGCTCTGGTGGGATGCCATCTTCACATTCTTCTACGGTCACTGCTCTTGCTATAGCTATTGGGATCCAAGATGGCTTTGGAGGACCATTGTTTGCAACCGCAATGATCTTAGCATGTGTTGTATGATCCTCACCCTGTCTTGCAAAGAAGCTTTTATTTCAAAAAAGAAAGGAAAAATGCATATTATCCATTACATATAATGAAATCAACTAGACTATTGATATATTTATTTAGTATTTAGTTTACTTTTTATTTCAACTTATGCGACAGAGACTTTTACTGATTCATAATAGATTATGTGTTGCAAGGTGACTCTCTGCTTTCCAATTTAGTCTTATTACTACACAATTTTCTCATTCATGTCATGCATCAAAGAGCAACTACAAAGTCTTTAGGTCTTGACTTTTATATCAATGAAATCTTGAAATTCCACCAAAATACTAAAGGATTTGCACTTGGTTAAAATTGGTCAAGATTTTCAAATTTGTCAATAATTGAAATAGAATCCTAAGATTCTATAAGTTCCACTGAGACTTAGATCCCATGTGCACCTAATCTTTTATATATTGGTTTGATTCAATAATCTGTACTACATTCTTTTGTTTACCTTATTCATAGTTCTGGTCCTTGAACAATTTAATCAAAGTTGTTGAGGCTTTCACATTCCCATATAGTTGGGATAAGGCTTGGGTGATGATGACTTTGAGGCTTTTACATCTCAGTTTTGAGGATTCAACTTCCTTGGCTCTAAATTGTGCCTATTTTATTTGAATGTGTTCATTGATATAGGCAATGTTTTAAAAAAATGTAGGTAGGTTTTAGTAAATTCATGAAACTACAAGGGGTGTTTTAGTAAATGTTCCTTAATAAAAAATAGTTGATTCTCATTAAGAGAGGTGCTTAAATTTTAAATCTTTTTAGTACTTTTGATTTCTTTGGTTATTAAGGTTGTTTGGACCCATACATAACTGATATAGTAAATGCCTTTGCAAACTTAGGGAATCCATTTTCAGTAAAACCAATTCTGCACCTATGGAATTAAAACTGTTTAATTTATAATTTTTGCTGAATTAATTTTAAAGGCATGGAAACAAAGTTGGCTTTCTATAGATCTTTTGGGTAAAGTGATACTTTCTGTATTATTATACCCATCTTACATTTTTTGAACAGCCTTAAAAGCAATCTTTTAATGTCTCACAACTTTAGTGCCTTTGTAGGAGGTTTCTCATGAAGGCATTTTTTGGCAGGTGATGTGTGATGCATCTGGTGTTAGGTTGCATGCTGGACGCCAAGCTGAGGTATGGCATGCAATGGTTTTCTCTTGATTGTGGTTGGTCTAGCTCCCAGGTTTATCACATTTTTTTATTCCTTGTTAGTGTAAAAAATATCTGAAGAATCAGTGTGATTGCTCATTTTCATTGAATTATTTGGGAACTTGGATGATTTTGTATGTTATGATCATGTTCAAAGTGGGTATTCTGCAGGTGCTCAATCAAATTGTATATGAACTTCCAGCTGAACATCCATTAGCTGACACCAGACCATTGCGTGAACTTCTTGGTCATACCCCTCCTCAGGTTTGGTTGAGTCCCTTAAAATTCTTTACAAAATGATAACAAATGGCATATTTAATAGTACTAGAAGCATACTATAAAAGCAACATCAAATTTTTGTGATTTGATTACTGTGCTAACAAAATTTGTACTCTGTAATTATACGGTAATACAAAGACCTGTATAATTGTCAAAGTGCAAGTGTCTCTCTGGCATAATCTTCATTCTAACCGTTAAGTTTTACTCTGCTCTAGGTTTACAATTTGAAGGGTGAAGAAACCAAATGGTACTTCATAAACTGAAAGAACTCCATTGAAAATCTGTTTTTCCTTAAAGAAAGGAAATAAGGAAAGACTTAACCATTAAAACGATGACCTCATCATCATGATATCCTCAAAAGGATGGATTGTATTTTAAGTGATTGCTATTGTGATTGAAAAATATCAGTAATACATGACAATATATATTTCCCTGTCGTGTTCAAAAAATATCAGTAATATGGTGATTGCATCATTTTGCATATCAAACCACCATGAACACTTGACTCCACTGCCACCCTACCACCCTAAAGACAATGAAAAGTAAAATAAAAAGAAAGAAATTACCAAAAATAAATCTCTAAAAACCCTTCATCAGGGACCATTTCTACAAGGACTCATAAACATACTCAATCTTTTTTGAGTCCATAGTTAGTTATTGTGAGGTCTCTAGTTCATGAGGTCAGTTTCCAGGGAAACAAATTTTGTGCTTTGTAGGTTATTGCTGGTGCCATACACTAAGAGAGCCTAATGTCTTTTCTGTTTTGCAACTTACCACAGGTTATTGCTGGTTCATTTGTGGGATGTGTCATAGCAGTTATTGGGAACTTTATCAGGAAAGCCACTGCTCAAACTTGATATGGATATCATGCAGAAGAACTTTGATCACCCTTCGCTATACAGGATAGGAAAGCTACTGGCTGACTTTTGCATAGATGGTTTACTGAATCTGAATCAAATCCATATTATCTATAGTACTGTCAGAAGTACAGAGTCCTGTTGTGGTCCATTCTTCCCAGTTGTACATTATGTGAAAATTTGCATTTAATTGGTTGTACTGATTGTTGGAATGAAATATTTGCTGTTCTACTGTCATGTGGCAACAGGACATGTTTACCAGTCTCAATTTGAATGGAGAATAATCACCCCGATGATAATATCAACCAAAATTTCATTTTCAAGATCTGGACATGGGTTTTTTGTTTTAAATATTATTTATTTTTTCCAAAAATCTTAATATTGTTGCAATATAAGATCCTTCTGGGACCCACTATCTTGAGCTTAAGCCTGAGAAATGACATTAGTTTCAGTAGATACTCTTAGCTATATGGCCAGAGATTGGAAAAGGCGCCCGCAGCGTTTGTTGCCTAGTATATGTCCTAAAATATCCGAGTATATATGCAATAGGCCCTGGAAGGAAAATATATATTTGCAATAGCCCGGGATTTGGTTATAGATAACCAAATATCTATCAACTGTTGTCATATTCAAGCATGCCAGAAACCATTTAACCAGTATTTTCTATTTTGCATTTGTGAAGATATGTACTATTTTCTTTCTGATACGCTCTTTATTTTTGTAGGCTAATTGGATAAAAGAGCCTCCGGTATGTGGCAAAACTGATCCAAATAGCACTGGGATAGTACTATCCCATTTGAAAGGTATATTTATTTCTTGGATTAATTTTCTGAAAAAAGAATAATGTTGAGTTTCATTTTCCTTCAGATCACATGAACTGATTTAGTCTGGTTGTTATAGAGTTGTGTGTCCAGGAGTTGTAGAACCAATGCTAACAAGTAAAAGCAATGATCTACACTCCAAGTCCAGGTTCTGCACACATCATGGTTTCATTGCATGAATTCAGGGAAGAGGTGTCTTCAACATTCTTTTTAGAACTGCAGAGTTAAAATATAATATGTGAATGTAGAATTCAATGATGAAGCCATGCAAGCAATGACAATTATTATTACAGATTCTAGTATTGTGGCACAAGACAGACCTCGACAAATATACTGGACATGCTAGATAATGAGATTATTCAGAGGCTAGAGGATTCCTTGGGGGGTGATGGAGAAAAATATGGTTTATATGCATCTGAAGTCAGAAATTCATCCAAGGTGAGAGATGTGCTGCATGTGCATTGCCGGGTGAAGATCTTAAAAGCTTACTGAACTTTTACCTACATACTTCACTCCCAAAATCCTAGCCATCTCTTCTTCTACCTCCTACCACAGAAGAGGTCTAAACTTACCTTCATCCCAAGTCTGCCTACATCCAAAATTACTATTACTTCAACCATTGCCAATTTTGGGCTCTGCTAATTTTAAATTGAGGCACCAAGGCGAGGCTAAGCAACAGGGGGCACCTAGGTGTCGTCTAGGCAATGGATTTCCTTTTTTAAGTAAAAAACATACATCTCATCTTTATCCATAATTTTTATAATAATAAAAGTATAAATTTCATAATAAAATATAGAAAATCATGAGAAGAAAAAAAGTAATATATATATATATATATAGATGGGGAACCGAAAACGTTTAACTTAAAGCACTAAGAATATATAGAGCCAACATCGCGACAGCCCTCCCGATGTATCATGTATCTGTCATAATTGGCTCAATATGCGCTTCAACTCGGAATTTAATGGTCAAAATATATATAAAAAAAAAAAACAAAGAAAACTCAGAGAAATTGCCGAGTAGTATTAAAGCACTAAGAATACAAATTTGTTTTGTTGTACACCTTAAAATGCACGTAACATGTCTCTTGAATACTGTGTCACCTCTGGTATTGTAAGGCTTACAAAGAAAAAGATTTGTATGTTTACCATTATTAATCACCAACCAACATATCCCATATCCCTGCTGCTCTGTTCTTTTGAGAGAAATGCCAAACGAGTTTCACTATCATCTCGGGTCGCTTTTCAGTCCAACGTGTCTTAATTAGCTGATACAGTCTGATTCCTGCAACTTCTGTCACGTTGCCAATTTGACACCATATTTAGTACTAATATCAGTCAAGGGTCGATTCGAGCTGATCGGCTGGTTTGAATCGGGTCGCCACTAAACCCAATTCAAAATCCAAGGTAACAAAGCCTCAACCTAAAGAGGTCGTTATTGAAGTTGTTGAATTGAAAGATTTATGGCTTTCCTTTTCTAATGGACAAAAGCTCAGTACAAATGGTGCAATACTTTATATACTGTGTTTCACTATTTCTAAACTTTATGTTTGCACGGTACATATTTATATTTGTACTCCTCTCAAACTGAGAAAAGTCAATAATCATAAATGCATCTTGCTTTGTGTAATGAATGGGTGCATAAATGCATCTTGCCTAGTGTTATGAACAGGTGGCACAAACGTAGCAAGATGCATGTATGCTCATTGATTTTTAAAAGGTTTCAACTTTGGAATGTAGATAGAAGAAATCTATGACATGCCTAGAATTATTTGTTATTAGCAAAGATCCAAATAGGATCTGAGCTCCTTGATGGCTATCAGATGGCATGCTGAGCTGATGATTATTATAACTTTAAATATTTTATTATATGATTGTCGTATCCATTGAACACAAATCAAAAGTCATTCAGTTCAGCCACTTCAGCCATAATCAAATGAAGTACTTAATCGATATAGACCCAGATTAAGTCCTGTTTTCAACTCACAAGTTAAATCCGGTGTCTAGACCTTGAGGATTCAGAATCATTATATGGGTTTGAAATAAGGTTCAAAATATCAATACACTCGATAAGTATCCATGGCTTTTTTATTTTTAATTTTTATTTTCAATCTGGTTTGGTTTAAGGTTCCTCCACCCTCTGAACCAGTCAAAACCCCGATATATCCTTTGTAGGAACGTATCTGAAAGCTCCCAATACGATATGATACTTTGAACAATTGAACCTTGGTTTGAAGCCCACAACTTGCCACTGTTGCATGTGAGCGTCAGAAGCTCACCCACAATCTGATGCGTTCCATCTTTTCCATTTAGAAGATCAGCTATTCGGCTTAAAAAAGTAAACTACTAAATACATATTTAAGAAAAGGAGGGAAATGGTAGAAACAGTCAAACAACTTGAATTGAATGTGGGGTCTGGAGATGGCGTTGCCCAACCCCAAATAAAAATGAAAAATCTGCTTCTTATTGACATTTTTAGGGAAATCCGACTACCGACCCATCCCCACCCTAGTTTTCATCCAGAATGAGAAAATCTCATTTTGAGGTTTCCCCCTGAATCCTGCTGACCCAAAGAAACCTTGTTTGCAATTATTGTTGAAGGCCGAAATGAGGAAACCAACCCTAGTTCCCGACGACCACGTTTTTTCATTTTTAAGGCGAAACCGGAGGAAACGACAATAACGTCACTTTTTGTGGGTCAAAGCTTCCTTGGTTAGACGGCCAAGGAAACTGACTCCGTTTCGGAACGCAACCCAAAAGAAGCAAAAAATAAAAACGGTGATATGCAACAGCTCTGTGCAACTCTTTAAAAATGAAAAATTCCCTGCCTACAGGACAATGACATTCAAGCGCTGCACAAACTACTTGTTTATTAGCATTCATTTTCTTCATCTGGCGTTGGGAGGCAAAAGAAAACCTTTATTACCACGCCTTGATTTTCAATTTTACGTTGCTGGTTCAGGAATTTTACGTTGGTAGGAGGAAACTCCAACCAATCTCTGTTTTCATCATTTAAAAAAAATAATAAAATAAACAAAGCGATGTCTTGCTCCTAGGCTGCCTATTCTCATCAATATTTTATATAATTAATGTTCACCATTAAATTAACTAAAAAAACTACCACGCTGAAGCATCTTCTAGTTTACTGCTAATAACTTAAAATATATAGTATAGCACTGGCCATTGGAGGAGGATAGAGAATCGCTATATATCTCATTGATTCTTCCAAGATGCTTCAAGCCTTCAAATCATCATCCTCAACTACTGCAAGAAGCACATGACGCCCACGTCAAAAGATGCTTCAACTCTTGAAAATTCATTTTAGCCACGTGGCAAAGAGATATTTCCATCAAATGAATAGCCAGGGCCCAGGTCAGGGACGGCTTCTCTTCACCTTCATTCATTCCTCCTTCACAGTTACTCACTGTCAATTCAATAAATAACAGATGCCTAACAATAATACTATACCCCATACACTACACTACAGTACAGAGAGTGACAGAGACACGGATCAGAGTCTCGACCCACCCACCACAGGCACGTGAAGCGCAGCAGCCACCCAGCTTCCATGTTCCCAAACCTTCTCTTCATCATCCACCGTCAATCTTCAACATTTTGTCATCATCAACTGACATCCAGCTCTCACAGCCTCCCACGTGTCTTCCCCAACGGCTACTAAAAGGACAACCGTATTTCAAAATATTTTTATCTCTCTTCTGGAAATCAGAGCCCGTACTGTACTACAACTCCCAATTAATGTATAAAACTTTTTTTCTTTGTCGCTGCAAGTCTGCAACTCTTCCCAAGATTCTTTTGCGAGTGGAGTGAGTGAGATAAGGGAGGTGGAAGTGTTCTCCGTATGTAATGAGTCAGTAACAAAGCCACCATTTCCCAGGTAAAGCTTATCGTTGTTGTTAATTTACCGCCTGCACTTCCTCTTGTTTTTTTAATTCTACTTATTATTTATTCTTCTATGGATCTTCATCTTCAACTCTGCATATCTCAGACATTCATCGTGTTAAGGTTATATGAAAAATCTCTTTTTTTTTTCTTGCAAGGCCCTTGTTCTGTTTTTTCTTGCTTTAGCTGTTCAACCGCAACTCTGAACAATTTCGATTAATTTTCTGTCTGGTTGGTAGATTTGTGGATTTCGTTGGCTTTTGGCTCCGCGAACACATATGGTTGTGAAAACTTGAGAGTGGTTTGAGAGATTTTCTTCTTTTCTTCTTCTCTTTTATCTCTCTGTCTACTATTGTGCTGCAGGGCCTGGGTTTTCAGGCGTTCATTTAGGAACTCATATCGTGAAATCTTATCAGAGTTTAGTCACGAACTTCACCACCATGTTCTAACTGTCAATGTCGTGAGAGAGTTTTAAGACTTCTATTTGTTCTCGGATTGGCATATCCTGTTCAGCAGCAAATCTGACCAAGAACTGATGCTATGGAGGACCGTTGTTTCTGTAAGATGTCTATAATGGAAAAATTTTTACAGATGTGAATATGTTTGTAGATCGTTAGAGATCTGAGGTGTTAGAAATAGAGTAAGAAATAAGATTTGAGTTATATCATTCGATTCAGCTCCACCTTACTTGGAGGGTTCACCCAGAAAGAACATAATGGATGGATTTTTTTTTTTTTTTTTTTGAGTTTCCTTGATAGTTCCACTTTGAGGACTGCTTGTTAGATGAGATGAACAAGTATGTTATGTTTACTCTAACAATTCAGACCAATTAGATCTCTGTCAAGCACTCTGTTGAAAGAGGATGAGACCTGCGGAAGGTAAGAGCTCTCGTAATTATGGACCAACAAAGGAGATCTCAAGCAGCAGTGCTATTAATTTCGAGTCTCACAAAGGAAATGGAATAAATCAGGGCTCTCGCCATCGGATGGCCTTAGGCAAACCAACCCCATCTAAATGGGATGACGCCCAAAAGTGGCTAGTTGGTTTGTCAAGAGGGGGAGACAGAAGCCACGCCAAGACCAAACCCCGGAACTCAAATGCTGATGATAGAAGATTAATTGCTCCTGCTCCACGGAAGGAGAAGGATTCTTCTAGCAGTGCTGAGGAGGAAGGAGGTGAAGATGGAATCCCGGATCCTGTAAATGTTATCCAAGATGAAGGGGAGATGAAGAAGATGGATTGTAGTGAGTCATTTTGGCGCATAAACAAGCCTTCTGCAGACTCATCATCAGGTATCAGATCGATTTGTGTGAGAGACATGGGAACAGAGATGACCCCCATTGCTAGTCAAGAGCCTTCAAGAACAGGCACCCCTCTTAGAGCCACAACACCTGCAGCGAGGAGCCCTATCTCGTCTAGATCATCCACTCCTGGAAGGTGCTATCAAGGTTCACAGGCCCTCGACACCCACGAAACCGGTCATACCATGGAGAGTAGAAATGATGCTAGGGCAGATGGTGCAACTCGGTTTCCTAATCGAGAAGAAGTGGGAGAATGCAATGCTGAGGAAGCTAGAAAGTCCAATCCTCTGGAAATCAGAGCAATGGCTTGGGATGAGGCTGAACGTGCAAAATATATAGCAAGGTGGTTTACCAGTAATCTTTCCTTGGTCCTTTATCTTAAATAAGCTATATGTCCTAGTTGTTCAAGTATTTGAAGTTTGTTGTAGTTGATCTTTCCATCTTTAACCATGAAAGGGAAGCTTTGACACATTGTGATGGGTTCTGATTGCTTGTATGTAAATTGACAGAAAACTTGTTCTCTGAATGTTCATATTGCATATTTACAGATACAAGCGCGAAGATGTGAGGATACAAGCCTGGGAAAACCATGAGAAGAGAAAAGCAGAAAAGCATACGAGGAGAATGGAGGTATTTCCTACATTGATTCTTATAACTAGCATTCCATCTCATCATTGCTATAATGGAGGAATCAATGGTTCCTCCAGTGACATCTAGTTAAGGCAGTTGGTAACCTAGTTTTCTCCTACAAAAAAATTCACTTATTCACATACATGATCTCATTGTTTATATTTATAGAAGGAACCTTATGTGTTTATTTGATTTTCGTTTATCTATCAGTGTCTTGTTAGCAACCAACCCAACTGGAACAAACCTTATAGACCAAAACATGTGCTGGGCCTCTCTACTTTGAAAATGTAATACACTGATGCTTGTACTTTTAGTCTCTTGGGCTGCATTTGGCTGCAGTACAATTTTCATTTGCACTGGTGTAAATGCATGGGAATGCAAAGAGACTGAGTGTAAATTCTGGTTTACTGTTTCTTCAGATTTGACTTTGTCTTATTTGTTTGTGAGAAGCAAAATAGGAAGTAAAATGAAGTGACCTCCATTTTAAGCAAAAGAGAATGCAGGATGAAGGCTATCTGTCTAGGAGTGAGGTAGGATGCAAGGTAACATGATCCCCACTTTATATGAGAAAGGAAGTAGTAGGAGGGAGGTAGTGCAAAAGAGAATAAAGTACAAATTTATCAGGTAGGAATGCAAATCATAATTACAAACAAATGAAAGCAAAACTGAACCAGGTTCAAAATTTTCACCGGGTCAAGATTTGCACCACAACCAAAAACAGCCTTGAATACCATAACAAATACTGATTTATCAAAAAAAAAACAAACAAATACCATTTGTACAAATATCAGAAGTTGTGAACTGTACAATATGGGGAAAGAAAATATTCAGCAGGCCACTTCCAATGCAAATAATACCACATATATTCAACTCAAATGAGCTCTGTCTTAATTGCAATTATTTGGGTCAGAAAATAGGCCACGTATATGGCATTTTGAACCACGAAATTGGTGGGCTGTATCTTACTTGAGATTTGATCTATTTTTTCCATCTCTTTTACAAGTCCAGTCCTTCTTAACATCTAGGCAAAAGCTGAAAGATTGAAATCACGAGCACAAGAAAGGTTAGAAAATAAGCTTGCTGCAACACGAAGAATAGCTGAAGAGAAACGTGCAAAGGCTGAGGCCAAATTGAATGAGCAAGCTGTCAGGACTTCAGAAAGAGCTGACTATATAAGAAGGACTGGTCATTTACCCTCTTCATTCTCCTTCAAGCTGCCTTCTCTCTGCTGGTAAGGGAACGTTTTGTATTTTCATTTGGTTTTCTTCTCCGTTTCTTTTTTTGTCTTTTTCTTTTTCTTTTCTTTTTTTTGAGGGGGTGTTAAATTCTGAACAAGTCGATTATGTTTACCATTTAGAAATGTGCTTTTGGAATGTCTTAGCTGAATATCTTATTTGTGCATTACCTATCAAAAAATCTTATTTGTGTGCATCTGATTGCGTTATTGATCACTTACTACTCATCAATTCTGAACAAGTCAATTATGTTTACCATTTGAGAAATGTGATTTTGGGATGTCTTAGCTGAATTTCTTATCTTATTCTTACGTTACCTATCAAAAAAAAATACTATTTGTTCATCTGATTGTGTTATTGGACTTCCTCTCTGATGTACATTTATTCAACCCGCAATCCACTTTAGTTGCTCCATTTTTTTCCCTGCTGGATTTGGAGGCTCATAAATTGTGGGGTATGCTAGCTAATTCTAAGGTCAATAATCCTTTGTTTGTACAACTAAAATGAAGGATTGAAAAGAGGAGCAGAAACATCTATGATATTTGTTTGACTCCATTCAGAGCCTCTTGCTTGATGCACATCTACAAGGTTCTATGTTTAATAGGAAGAATACAGATCAATTGCCTGCAATAACAAACAATGCAGAAGGAGAATGTTCTATTCCATGATTTAAAACTACAAGATGCTCTTAAGCTCTAAAAAACCAATCCTCTTTACAACTTATACAATGAAGGACTCGTAGATGGACCACTTAAAAGTTTTTCAATTGTATTTCTCATTCCCAATGTTGTATCTAGTGTTCGCAATCCTGTTTAAATGTGTACTCTGTGTTTGTTTTGTAAGCTGTCAGTGTGTTTCTTGTTTATTTTGGGGGTGGATGTAGATCAAAGCTTCTGATACTTGCTATAATGACTGCATTTTGTATCTTTCAGTTACTCTATCAATAAAAGTGCCTTTTTTCTTAGATTCCTTTTTTTCATGTTAAACTGATAGCCTTTCAGACAATTTTATCCTAATCCTCAATCACATTAATTTCTTCAGGGATAAGAGTACAAGGTGCGTCATTAGGGGACAGTCCCTTATCCAGAGGTGTTACGAGCTTACAAAGTATAAATGCATGCAATGCTGAAAGCTTGAAACATTTGTCTACAACCCTGCACATGGTAAGACTTCATTGCAACCAAAAAAATTAAATTATCATCACATTCCTCAAGGAGAACATACATCACAGTAATAGCTATGCTGAGATATTGCATCAATGTTTATGAATCAGAGGTATGAGATGAAAAGCAGAACTAAGAAAATATTGTCCAAGTTTTTGACAAAGGCATTCTAAATCCATTGCAATGTATCTCGTAATGTAGTTAATAACCTGCTCTGGAGTTTTAACCTCTGCTAGAGAAAAACAGATTTTCCATTCTAGTTCCCTGCAATAGTTAGGCTTGCCATGTATGTATTTTGTGCTTCTTTTAGCATTTGTGCAAAAACCTGTTTCTCCTAAGCAGAGGTTATGTTAGAGAAAGATAGAACAAAGAGAACAATATGAACTTCATCATAATCTCTATGTTTCTAGGCATGGGACAAATATCCAAATTTTGGCCGAAAAACCAAAAGATTTCCTCTCCCTTGGATCTAGCAGATACGCAGAACACTTCAAGTAATGGTAAAGCGTGTATGGTTGTTTCTGCAAAAACTACCATTTGTAGGAGGTAATTTCCTTTTACTCCAGTTTTGCTCCACATGCAAATTTGTATGACTTAGCATGAAGGCCTTTGGCATTAATTCCGTTTTTTGGTATTTCATTACCAAAAAATCAGAAACACAGGCACAATTCACAAACGCTGTTTAAAAAAACAGGAGTTTTAAAAACAAAACATTTTTTAAGAAAACGTGCTCGTAGAATCTCACCAAGTCACTGTGCATTTATTTTAAATGATCAGTGAAAATGCATTCGTCAAAGCTGTCATTGAGACTGCTCGCTTAGCTCATTCCATGCCACCGATAGATATGTAATCAAGAATCAATATCAAGTGCGGGAACCTTGCTATGTGCATTGACACATTAACATGATCATGTTTCAACATCTTTAAAAAAAAAAAATCATCAATGGTTCAGTTGCCAAAAGCCATCCATGATCCATTTATTTATTTATTTTTTTTTTATAACTGACCCATCTAAAAATTCCACCATTCAAACATGTGGCTTTTTTAAATTTAGACATATGGCATTTTCTGAGTTGTTAAAGCCAACAGCCCATTACTCCATTCAGACAAATGGCCTTATCATTTTTTAGAAAGCTAGACATGTGGCAATTTCTAAGAAATTCTTGCTAAAGCCCACAATCCACCATCAAATTACAACTCTCCATCATTCAGACACATGGCCTTCTTATTTTTCTGGAAAACTAAACACATGGCATTTTCTGAAAAGTTGTTGCTAAAGCCCACAATCCACCATCACCATTTTCAATCAATTCCTAAAAAAATGCAAAAAATGCAAAAGTGGTTATCCACAACCACTTTTCTACATTCTATAAATCTCAGCTAATCATTAACTCTCTACCTATCATAACAAAAGAAATCTATCTATATTCTAATAATTATTGAAAATTTATTTTTTGAAATAAATATTTCTTAAAAATTTAATAATTATTTAAAATATTAATAAATATAAATTTAATACTATTGATTTCGTAACGTAAATTTAACATTACTGATTCTCCATAATTAATACGGGGTCATTCACTAGTTACAATTAAAGAAATGGTCACTCATCATAGGGAAAGTGAAGAAAATTAGAAAGCGCAGGGTGGTAACCGGGAAGGTTTGCTTCCATTGATTATATGACCCCACTTAACTCTCAACCCAATGTTCCTAAAAATAAGAATGAAAAAAAAGCACACACACACCGTTGGATTGAGATTTTTCTCTAAAAGGGATTTGCTTAGATGTAATGAATAAAATATCCTTAGTTCGTAACGTTTATACTTTATGCCGTGGAGTCGTAGACCTACAATCCCACCACTTGAAAATGGCTGGCTAAAGATGGGTCTGGACAGGGCCGCCAGTCGCCACAATATGCTACACGTTTGGAGCCCAAGCATTGGATAGGTCCAGAACATCCAGCTAAAAGAAACAAACAAACAAATAGCTTGCATGTGGGCAAAAAGGATTTCCTTCCTTTGAAGTTGAAAGTAATTCTTATTAGATGGTCGAAGTCATCTGTTTAATTAATTTAGGGAGCAGCCACAGTTTTAACTAGGAATTTGGGATCCATTTAACGGTAACTATGGATAGGGTGTCAATTGGACTGGATTTGGTCCAACCGGTCCAGTCGAATGTGAGTCCATTACAAATAGACCTGGTCCAATCTAGTCCAATGAATATTTTGGACCATTTTGAACCAGTCCAAAGACTGTTCAATCTGTTCAAATTCCTGTTAATTTAGATTGGTTTCAACTCAAACCTGGTCCATTGGCACCTATGTTCTAATCTTCTATCAATGGACCAGATATTGGCTCAATCTGATATAAATTCATTATGAACGAACCAGGTCCAATCTAATATCATATTGGTCCGTCCAGTCTCCAAATTCAATGTCTTATTGGTCCGTCCAATCCATCCAAATAGATTTTGATTTGGAAGGAGTCCAACCCAAAACCGGTCCTTTGACACCCCTAACTATTGATACTAGAATGTATGAGAGCATTTTGGTCCCGCATTCACAAAAACCCAAGACGTTGCATTTGCAAGTTTCGACGAGAAACAGTTATCCTGGCCATGATTCTACTTTATAACCCCCAGGAATCCGTTCTATACAAGGCCACTTAGAATCTCTAAAGATTAAATTAAAATAAATAAATAAATAAACAAAACAAAAAATTAGACAAATTTTCATATACAACAGGCAGTAATACCAGTAGCCAACATCATGTGCAACAAGCACCGGGTGAGGACATGAAAATATAAAGACCAAGCTTTTCTTTGTATACAAAATGATAATTTCATTTCAAGCCATCTTTAGCGAACAAGATAATCGGACTTTCCCCAAAACTTTTACTAGATGGTACATAATAAATTGCACAATAAGTCTACTAGATCCAACTGCCAATTGGAAGCAGCACGTTATCCTTCAACACTGTATGCTACCATAGACGGTGACTGGTTCATGCTCCTGCTTGTAACCGGCGATTTATACCAGCCTACTGGATTAAACGAAATAAGCTAGATGCACCATTCCTTCAATTGGTTCTGTGAAATTGAATATTAGCATGAATGAGGATTTTCTTTTTCTTTTTTTTTTATTTGGGGGAAGAGGAGGGAGGGTTAGGAAGATTAATTTACAAACAATAAGGAACTTTAAAGCACTCACCCCCGGTCAGGCAACCAGCCAAAAGTTAGTTTGGGATGTAGGTCAATTTCAAATGCTGACTGAGGCTTTTCTAAATTCTAGACCCTACCCACCACCCAACCAAACCCTCCCGGCATTTGAGGGCAAGGCAAGAACCCACATCTAATTTCCTATTATATATAAGAAATAAACAAGCAAAATTACATGAAAAAACATCAAAATTTTCAATTATTTGATTGAAACATGTAAAAAAACGCAAACTATCAATTATTCTTCACATAAGATTCAAAACATTATTAAATGGGCAAATTTCTTAAACTATCCTTACGGTTTAGTTAATAGACTAACTCTACCCTTACCGTTTTATATATTGTCTTAAAGTACCCTACTGTTTCTGACAATTGTCAGTGTCATTGAATGTTAACGGAAAAAATGAAATGTCAAACTTGCTCTTAATTATTCCTCAAATTTTCAAAATAAAACCTAATCGATGAAAAATCCACCTCTATGCAATTAAGATCCTCCTTCAACTCTTTTTTGATGGATAGATCCTTCTCCGACCCTTCTTTATAGTCAACAGAAGAATCACGTTGTATTGCAACAAGAAGAATCACCTTACCATCCAAATTTTGAATAAAACAGCCTAGCTGACAATATCAACTTATATTTAAAATAAAAACTTAAGAGTTCATTCCCTGGCCCTGGAGATCTCCAAACTGAATTCTCCTTCAGAAGTGCTGTTTCTGTTAAAGAGTCAGCCAAGCTATTGGCAAGTTCTAAGTACCAACCTGAACATGCAGTTCAGGCCGCTACCTAGTGTCAACCACTCTGGTTTCTCCGACTAAAAACTTATACATCCAAGGTGTCTCTTTCTCTGATTTCAACCAAAGAATAAGCACTTGGACCCATTCCATCTATGATAAGGGACATATAAAACCCATCCCAACTCCCAAGTGAGGAGGAATCTCCCATTCAACCCATAAAATTGTGTCTCTAGTTAAGATCCAACAAGATCATGCATTCCATCACTACAACCAAAGTTGGTCTAAGTAATATGTTAATCATCTGAATCCAGTAAGATCAAACCCAGAAAATGAAAATACGTGATTATTAAGGTACACCACGATCAGATCTGAATCCAATTCATATACAACCTACATTCACTCCAAAATTGTAAAGGATTACTGCCAGTTTGTTGACAACAAACTCTGTTAAAGTAGGCATTGGTCCGGTTTAACCATTTTGGCAGTGCTTTATCTACTTTCCATGATTATCCATTCACTTGTATGCCTTCATGCCAATACATAGAGATATTCATTGTTTTGTAACCATAGATGGTAATGGAGATCGTAAATCTTGAAAAAAGAAAGGTTAAGACGGTTACTTGCACAACCCCTTACCTTCAGACAAGGTACAACATATATCAGATTGTCATGGTCAAATAATGGTCTCCCATGCTAGAACAAGATGTAAACTGATACACTATCAAATGCCATCTGAAGCTCAAACCAAAACTGATGCATGGCAGAACAACATATGATAGAATTTACTGAAAAAGACTGCTTCATATTAGGCTAACCTGGTCTACATTAGCTCTTCTGAATTGAAACAGCCACAACCAAATGACTAATGCTGCTAAAACTTGAAGAATCACATGCAATAAGATCAGCAATTTCTGCAAGCAGCTTGCAAAATACAAAATGAATTTCATGTACAGATACAATGGGACCTAAAACATACAGGAAAACATATGCGCAGGCGCTTGCACATGCACACACACAGGGAGAGAGAGAGAGAGAGAGAGAGAGAGACCTTATTTTAATATAGGAGCATAAGGAGCAGGACAGGGAGATACAGACAGATCTGGTAATTGATTTATCAATTCAAGTGTAGCCTGAAGGCATGCATTTAGCAATTTCTTTTCCAACCTGAGAAGCTGTGTAGCAACTCGTTTCTTCGGGTCCAAAGTAAAATCTGTTAACTGATTCATCACAGAATTGGAAATGTTTCAGCAAAATCTGAACATTTAGGAACTATTTAGGATCAGAAGAAAACCAACTTAAGCCAAAAATACCAAAGCTTCATCTTCGTGTAAGGTAGTAGGATAGCCATCCAGGCGGGCGGTGAAATAGTCAGATAGTTGGTTTAAAACTGCTCGTTCCACACATGGACTTACCTGTTGATGTTCAACAAACATCTTGTAAATTTTATATGGACATTAGAATTGATGCTTACTTCACCCTAGCAGAAATCTGGATTTCCAAATGGCATCCTTCATAAAATCTTCTACACTAACTGTTCAATAATACTACAGGCATGATTGGGGGTCCCCACAATGCAATAGACATCTCGAATCAAAGCATATAATTAGGCACATCATCTAATTACCAATCTGTGTCCTGGAATGATGGGAAATTAAGGGTTGACAGCAAAGAAGCCTAGTGAGATTCTGAATATCTCAAATATTAATGGCATCTTATCTTATTAGTAAAAAGGTCTTCATCAGTCTTATTGGCTCCACTCAGCTGCTAAAACTCAATCATTTGATATTAAGTTCATCCAAGCCTTTTTTTTATTGTTAACTGGTAAAAATTTTATTGATAAATAAAAACTATAGTATATATTTACAACAGATGCATTCTCTTATAAACTTTACAGAAAACAGTGAGCCAATTTACTGATGCTCCCCTAGTGCTCTCAGAATAGCATCAATCCAGTAAAAAAGAAAACAGAAAAATTGCCAGCATAATGGATATCCACCCCATACTAATGATTGTCTGCTAAGAGCTAACTCCTTTACAAGTTAAAGGAATCAAAAACAGAAATAGAAAACCTAGGCATCCATGAGAGTTAAGGTTATGAAATGCAAGCATAATGCCTACAATCTAGCCCACAACTTTTTTTTTTTTATCAATAAGCCCACAACTAAATTTACTCAAGAAAAAACAATAAATTTTAAGATCTTAGATTTATTATCTGCAATATATTGATCAATAAGGTTAGACTTAGGCTCAGGCTCAATTGGCAAGCCTGAAAATGAGTTCAGACTTGGCTCACATGAGCCAAGCTGGCTCAATTCATTTGCAGTGCTGAATCAATGAGATCTATTGTAAAGCATTCGTTCCAAAAAATAATGAAAAAAAAAACAAAAAGTTTAAAACAATAGTATATTGATATGTTGCAAGGATGGATATAGAAATATGATATATTCCGTATTATTGTTATGTTCCCACCCATAATTCCATAGAGCTCAAAATATTCATGTAAAGGAGTTAAATAAGATAAACTTACAGGGCATATAGGGCCTTGCGAAGAAATAACTGACTGCATCTCAGATGGATCTGAAACATATCCCAATCGTATATAAGGAAGCATATCTGAAACTGCTTCTTTTTCTTTGCCTGCATATACCTGTAGGAAGGTAAATCCTTGTATTCAATGAATAAAAACGTATGAAAAGCATATGTTAGAATTCATGATAAGATATTCAATACATACATGGAAAACTTGTACAGCTAGCTTTCCATGTCTTTGAGCAACAATTCTCTTTTCTTGATATTGAGGATCCTCAGTGTTTAGCGATGCCTGGATGAGGCAAGTCATAAAATATGTGAGTAAAGAGGAACCAGTTAGAGATATGGTGACCTTATTAAAAGAAGGGCAGCAAATGGATTTCACCTCAACCATGATACGGTCATATGGATTATTTTCATCAACAAAACCATAATTCAAAAGCAGCCTTGAATTTGGTTGAGGTCCACACCTAATGTTAACATGACATACCAAGTTTAAGATGTATTAGTAGTAAATAAAAGAAGTCAAAAAATCAGAAAACAACAAAGAATATTATTAAGGGAAATTTTCCACCACCAACAGCCTTTGTAGAAGCAACTAGCACTGTCAACATAGAATGCAAGGACAACTTAAAAATCATGTGGTGGTTAATTAAATGATCCCAAACAAGCAGCCACTATACCATACAACAATTGAATCCCCAGCCTTATACGGACGGTCAACCACCAGTTGAATAGCACCTTCTACAGCTTCCAGCATTGCCTTGCAGTCACTTTTATATGCCAGCAGCGGGGGTCCTAGAGGAACCAAAGCAAACCTTCGTGCCAAACTAACTTTCTAGTTCCACCAGATAATCAAGCCATCAGTTTGTATGCACGTATGAATGTATGTGTGTGTGTGATAGATAGACACAGATGAAAGGATACTAAATAGCATAGAATACCTTTCTAAGAAGCTGTCTTAAGAAACATTAGAATGACAAAAGGAACAATAGAAACGAACAATCAAATAGCTTGAACTGCTAAACTGGTTTCAACCCCAAGTTTCTTGCAATGACCCATTATGACCAATGATTCAAAATATCATGTAAAAAGCCTTTCCATGATGAACCTGCATCGTGAATGTAACTCTCACCATTTTACATGAGAACTAAGTGTACCCAAAAAATAACAACCCAGTGTAGTTAAGAAAGGTGATTCCTAGGTGTTTTTGGCCTGGCAAGGTGAGCTCATGCCTAGGCAACAAAAATAAATAAATAAATAAATAGATTCATATTTTATTATAAAGTGATTAAATTAGTACAGATATTAACTGCCAACTTATACCCATTTTCAAGAAAACTGATTGAATTTTTAGAACCACCCTGTTTCAAACTCCAAAGTGCACATGATCACAAAAAAAATAGTAGCCCTAATTCTTAGCTTTACATGCACTTTTATTGACCCGAAATAGGTTAGATAGTCATATCAATATATACAAAGAAGCAATAATTATTTATTTGTCCCTATTAAGATGTTTATAACTATACCGCCCGTGTCATTGATGATGGTCTCAAAGTCTTAAAACACAGCTGAACTGCCCGGTAGAACCAGTTAAGCAGTGACTTGAACAGCTTTCCTGTTTTAGGCAGTTTTCGGCCTTTTGGCTGGTTGATGGTTGAATAATAGGTAAACCATTGACCTAGATGCTTTAACTACACTATAACAACCACACCTTCAGGGATAACTAATAAGGACTTGTAGAGCAATGGGGCAACTATAACAATAAGTGTATTAAATTTCTCCACTAGTATGCATTCTGGTATCAAATTTTGCAACTAGTAACTGGTAAAGAAAAGGGGAAGGGGATGAGGAAAGAGAAGAGAGCATAGAGGGAAGTAATATCTGTCTCATAAACTAAAGACTGATTCTTTGCACTTTTGCACATCAGAAGGCACCAAATTCTAGGAAGTGGACTAGAATGAAAACTAAAAATCATGTCTCCTTACTTCATAATTGCATGAAATGCATAAGATAACAGCTATTTCAACATCACATATTCTATAAAATAGTACCTGCAAATGCACTACACAAGACTGAATTGCAACAAATGCTTGTTTGAAGATCTCAAATGGAAAGGCCTCAGTAGGTATGTCATATGGATATTGCTGCAAAATACAAAACCAATAATTACAATATTGCAATACCAAGTTCTCACCATCTCCTTTTTGGTTCAGTAAGATCTTGTAGTACATATATGGATAGCTCATCTAGAGCAGGGCAAGAAATGCATGATACCACCTGACTGCCTTAATAAAGCTTACCTTGTACCTAGTCTAAGGTCACTAGGCCCTTACTTTTTTATATATGTTTTATAATGCATTGATCATTAGTGCAAATACAATGTTTACTATTTTATAAGGAAAAAGGATAAAAAGTGCAAGTTATTTTTTAATGGAAACTGAATTTATATAAGAAAATGACCTGAAAGAGAGACCCAGCCATAAACCAAACAGTGTCAAGTTCATTATACTCTCTCTTGATACCCTCGCTTCTCTCAAGAACTTCTGCCTGAATCATTATCAGCAAAAAAGTGTTTTAGAACTTTAATCTGCTATGGTTTTCTCACCAACCTAAAGTTTGTGAGGACAGAATAAGTATATTGATACAGAATAGACTCCTCCGAGTGTTTAAAAAAAAAAAAACAAAGAATAATCAGATACAAAATAGAAGATAGAATAAGAGATAATAACGAGCAATTTGCTTAAGAGCATGAAAAAATACAAGTCTAACAAGATAGTCACCATTCAAAGTAGTAAAGAGGAGGGATAATTCCTTGAAAGTCTGAAAATTGGAAGCATATATGCTAAAACTAAAATTTCTTAATACAATCTGGACCCTTTTTATTTTGAGAATCCAACATAATCTGAACCATTTTAGGAGTGAAAACTGCTAAAACTTGGAAAAAATGATAAAGTTCCTAGAGTATCCGAACCATTTCTATGCCAACATCAATCAATACTTTTAAGAACAATAGTAATTTTATAAAGCAAATAATAAATACTTTTAGCAATGTTTTGACGATCAGACCAGACTGGATAGTTGAACCATTTGAAGCAGAACAACATGTCCTATTCCTAATTGTATGAATCAACCCCGTGCCCCAATTAGCAATTGACACGTCACGGAACTGTCAGAACTAGTTGTTAAACCATTAGATCCTCTGAACTGGTATGCAAATGTTATAAACAGGATAATTATTATTCAAATGCGCCCAATTTGATAAAACTCTGTAAAATCCTAAAATGTACCTAAAGTCTAAACATGTAAAGCATGAGAGGAAAGAAACTAAGCGAGGGGGAGTTCTTCAGTCATGGGTTGAACATCAAGTTTCTTTTCCTTCTTTTTTCTTTTTTTTCTATACTTTCTTTTTCAGGTATGTATGCCAAAATCCAAGATTGCAGTTCACATGAAATACAGGAACAACCAAATGTAATCAACTTATTTCAAATTTTTTGGTGGATTTCATATTTACTAACCGTTATGTTCTCCCATCATGGATTTCCTTTTTTTATCAGTAATCGCTTATTAATTTGTAAAAAGAATGGTTTATGTACAAAGCTGTCAAGAATCCCCGTGCACTGGCAAGACTTCATGGGTTTCATGCTTTTGTCATATAATGCCTATATTTGATAATGTTTCATATATTGCTTCCCAATATTTTTCCTGTTATTGGCTGATTTACACCTTTTTCTGCAATTTGGTGGTAAAATTCATAATATTAACTAACTTGCCCACATTAGTTTTCTTTCCCACATAAGCTGTAGGCACCCTCTTAAGTTATCATTTCATTCCTTGATTGAAAAGATTACCTTCTTAATATTGCAGATTTTTGTTCCATCATATACTGTTACCTACTTGTGGTTTATGTTGCATCTCAAATTGGCCAAATGTGTTCTTCTGTTTATAAGCATTTGTCCTCCATTTAGGTTTGCTGATTTTTTTATGCTTTTATGTGTGCATTTCATTAAAGGCCATTACTCAATGTTGATCCCACTTATCTGGGGTCTTGGGAGGGGTAGACTGGGTATGATCCTAAAATTTGGCATTTTCTGCACAAAGTGGCCACCCTCAGACTCAAACCCACATTCTCACAGTCACATTTGCCACTTTGCCAGCCTGAGATTTTTCCATTAAACCAATTAATGGTCCCTTATGAGTGAATTTTTTTGGGAGGAACAGTAAGTAACTGAAATTTTAAATTGAGAATGTATAGAAAATTTACAAGAATGTATATTATAGCCCACAGATAGGCTAGAATATCCAACCTACCCCTTATCTGTACATTTGATATCATCCCATTTTGGTTTTATTTTCCAATGCATTAGGATGATAGACATTTAAACACTATTATATAGGCATTTACTCCATTTATTTCAAATTAGTTTTTTATAGGAAAGGTAACCATGTATAATGTTATGATGAAGAGTCAAATCGATAATTTAATAATGCTATGGTTGATATGTAATTTTCCAATATATTCCATTTTTTCATATTTCTCCATCTTATACTTTTTCATAAGTTCTATCACCAGGAACTACCAGCCTTTATAGATCAATGCCCAGTCTAGTTTTCAAAACATGGTTTCTTCCTTAACATTGTTGTTTTTCCCATACATGCATGCCTGGTGGAGGTTCTTTTCTCGTGTGTGCACCTCCCACCCCAGGATTGAGATTTGGTTTGAAGAAGCTTACTCATCATTCAGTTCAACGTAAATGGATGCTAAATACAAGAGAAAGATTTAATTCAGATATCAAGATAAATTAATACCTTTGTGGCACTCCCAGTCAGATAATCCAGTTCAGCTTCCGACCACAGAAGTGGAGATTCCACAGCTAATTGGCCCCTCCCACGCTGGCGATCAAGCTCTCTGATGAATGGGTACCAGAAAGACTTCTTTCCCTGTTTCTTCTCGTACATGAGATATAGTGCCAAGCAAGCAAGTTCGGACAGCTTGTTTGTTGTTAGTAGTTCAGCTGCATAAAGCACCCAACTGTCAATGAAGAAAAAGCATACAGCAGAGTCCCACACCTTATCGTGAAAACTAAAGATAGGAAAATACATTAGTACCAAAATAAACTAAACATCTCACCGATTGTCTCGTTGCCCAGAACCCTCTCGAGGGTTACTACCAAGGAATTCGGCACACAAAATGCAACATCGCCCGCCTACAGAAAGAACAAACATAAATAAAATAAATGGATGAACTTCACAGTGGAGCTGGAATAAGGTCGAGGTAATACATTAAAAGGAGCAATTCGAAATGCAAGAGAAAAAACTAATGCAGTCACCTGGAGGTCCTCGCTCGCTGCGACGTAGTGTATAGGTCGATGTTTCTTATCGTGCGAAGGCCTTTCCTTGAGAATGACCTTGCAAGGAGGAAATCCGTTGCTATGCATCCAAGCTTTCAGATCCTCGAACTCTTCTTTCTTACTAACAACTTCATGAGACCTCCCGTCTTCCTTACGCGATCCGACGACTAAGGTGTCAGCACCAGACGCCAAGCAGAGTCTCCGCCGACGAATCGAACAAAAAGCAATGGAATAGCTTGAGGTTTTGATGAAAGAACTCGAAACCCTAGAAACAACAGCAAGCGGACGAGGAGAAGATGGATTGATGGGAGACGACGAAATGCAACTGTTTAGCAGATGAACAGCATCCATGTTGTCCTTCTGTATGGAAAAAAAAAAAAAGTCGAAATCCTCCTGTAGAAAGAGAGGATGTGTAAGGGAAACGTGGATGTGTGGTCCAAGGTTCAGAGTTCCTACGTTTTGATGAACATTTTAGTAGTTACTGACTTGCAGTTGCAGAGCGTGAGCGTCAGAGTATTGCGGTTCAAAGAGTGAGAGAGGCTGGGGACCTGGGAAGCCAAGATATTTTTTTTCCTCGATTTATCTTGATTTTCTCTCTACTTAGTCTGTGCGCCGAGGTGTCGTATCGGATAAGAGAATGAAGCACACGGACTAATGGTAGAGTAAAAACTATAAAGAATCTAGACGACCGGTGTAACTGTAATGAGTTCAGAATTGGCTTTTACATTTGTGTGTCTCTGCTGCTGCATTAAAATGATTTTTTTTTTTTTTTTTTGGTTGGGGATCTTCTCCTTGTTTCGGCCTTTCCGCAGCACTTGGGGTCATGGGGACTTCAGCCAGTGGTTCATGGACGGCTAGGGCTTCCAACGGTCGGGTTTTGGTATTTCCCACCCGACTATTAAATGGTACAAGTTTATTTATGGACCCAAAACCGCCATAATTAATAATCATAGGGAGGCTTAAATATATTTGGGGAATTAATAAATCTTCAGTGCTTTTCTCAAAAAACACGCCCCATAGATTTCAAAAAATGCTATTCAAAATGCTTAGAATCCCCTTTTTTTGGGGCGGAAAAAATAAATTTCATAACGCATCATTATAGAGAAGGAGAGGGGTCAACCAATTTGCTACCCACAGAGCAAGGGCTTCAATGAAGAAGTCAGAGTCTGTGAAGCCCTTTTATGCAAGGTTGTGGACTAGAAAATTGGTTTCCCTCCTTGTAAAAGAAAAAGAAACATTCAAGTTTTTACATTCTTCTAAAATATCTTTACATCCTTGTAAAAAAGCTTCAGAGACTTCATTTAAATTCATTGCGTTCAACGCCTCAACCAGGGAATTACTATCACTCTCAATCACAAAAGGACCTTTGTTCAGCAGCTTCCCTAGTTTCACTCCTTGAAGGCAAGCAACGACTTCAGCTTGAATGGGTGAGACTGAAATTGACCGGCCAAAAGAGATTCCTTCTATAAGACCCGAGTGGTCTCTAGCAATTGCACCAAAACCCACTTTTCCATCACACAAAAAACTATCGTCTACGTTTACCTTCAAAAAGTTATGAGTTGGGGGTTGCCACAAAAAGATTGAAGCGGCAGCTTCATGTGCTTGCAAAGAACCTAGTCATCTTTTTTGCAAAGTCCTCTTCCTCTCCTTCCAGGCTTTGTTAAGACAAATGAGATTTTTAATGGGGTTAGCAACTCTTTGTCAAAAACAAATTTGTTCCAACTTTTTCCAAATAGTCCAGAGAATAAGCGTTGTATAACTTAATAGATCTTCTTTGTTATCCTTCCTCTAGCTACAAAGGCTAGTCCACTCCAGGAACCAGTTTATGAATTCATTTGGAACATTCTTTGTTCTAAGATTTAAAGTTGACTGGTGTTGGCGAAAGCATGTCGTTAACCACTTTGGAACACCAGTTTAGAGATTTAAAATTTTTCAATCCTCACGTAACCTTAAACAACGTAGTACGTGGTGAGAAAGGGGTCGAACCCACAGGGAAGCAAGATAAAAATTATTATTTTTTGTTTCGAACAAATAAAAGGAAAATGGATATAGGATTTGTAGAAAATAAAAAAATAAAATTTATTAATGTTGAAAATAAATGTTTGAAATTAAACAAGACAATAATTAATGTTCATAAATTAAAGAATACTGAGATCAACAAAAGAAACAAATAAAAGTGATCCAAAATTCGGATCCAGTGGCAGTAGCTTTCTAGGTAGACGAAATACAAGCTTTCTCCTTCCGTTTAGCCCTTGAACCCCTCGAAACACCTTAGCCTTGAACCGGACGAATTCAGATTTGCAAAACACACAAACGAACATAAATTAAATCTAAAAGACTGCTGAAATAAAATAACATAAAAGAAAATAAAGAAAATGAAAATGATGGCTCATCAAATATAGTGGTGGCAGTTGTAGATTGGCTGGACTACTTGTAAGAACCCCTCCTGACAAGATCTGAGCATCATTCCCTTATACAACCTTTGAACTCCTCAAGAAACCTTAGCCTTGTGAACTGGGTGGATTGACCAACCCCTTCTCTAGGGCCCCTAGGGTCCTTTTTATAGATAAAGGTGGTTATAACTGGGATTAGAGAGAAAGAGGGGGGCGACAAATAGATTTTTACAGAAATATGAGCGCCTTAGGGTTGAGAATGGAGGGTTATGATTGTTTTAAGGTGATCCTAAGGCTGAGAAGAGAAGGAGAAAGCACCCAATATTATGTATGTTTGATATTTGGGCTCCTAAGATTGGATGGTGGAGATTTAGGCACCTAGGGTTGAAAGGTGGAGATTAAAAGGAGTGGGTGGCGCCCTAGAGTTATAATGCTAAAGAGAGGGTGCCCTAGAATGAGTGAGAAGGTGCCCTAGGGTTTGCTAAGGAGAGGGGAGTATGGTAATACAGTAGGAGGGGCACCATTATGGGTTTAACAGACAAGAGGGGCCCTATTGTGCTCAGTTTTTCATAGAAACACCCCCTCTCTCAATTGAAATTCTCACCAGCTTCCCAAAATTTGTAAAAAAAAAACTGTAAATTTCCTGTTTTTTACCCATAATTTGTCGAGGGACCCTAAAAGGTCACAGCATTGAATTTAACCGGAAAAATGGTATAGATTGGTCAATCTAAGGTCTAAAATACCCCTAAAATGATGCCCTTAAGGCATCAAAATACAAAGTTATCATTAACCCAAACCATAGGAGCTTGGCGTGGTCACATTTGAACAAGGCATGCATAATTGATTCAGGTTCTTTGGTGCAGATAGGGTAGGTTCACACAGTCAACAATTGAGTTTCAGAGACATCTCCAAATGAAGTGTTTTTTATCAATTTTTAATTTCCAAAGCTCCTTCCAGGGATCTCTGATTTGGATGTTGGTGTTGCTATTATTACCTAGATGGCCAGAAGGGGGGATTAAAATCTTTCTCTACTTGCTAAGAAATATGTTGATTTGACCGTGAATTTCCCTGAAAGGTTTCCTTTCCAGATTAGATTGTTCTCTCAGTTTCCTTAAGCTGAAGGAATTCTTTTTATTTGGTTTTTTATTTCTTTTGTGAAGGAAGCCTCCAAGATAGATAGGTTCTAGCACCTTCTTTCCTAATTTATTAAATCTTTGACCCACATTGGCCCATCGTTACATGGGTTTGGTCCCATTAAACGAAATTCTGGTAGATCCTTTAACTATGGATCGCTCCAGATTCTGATATGCTCTCCTGATTTACCTCCCACAAGGCTCCTTGTTTTAAGATTTCCTTTCCTGCTATAATGCTTTGTCATCCCCAATAACCCCTGTGAGGGAAGACATCATTTAGGAAATTTTTTCCTTTGATGTACTTTGCCTTGATAACTTGACACCATAGGTTGTTTTCCTCTGTACAAATCCTCAAAGCTTGTTTGGCTAGGAGGGCCTTGTTGAAACATTGGAGATCTTTAAAGCCTAGCCCTCCATCATTTTTATTCATACTAATAGTCTCCCAGCTAACTTTCTTTTTATCCTAAGAGCCCCACTAGAATTCCTTTGGAGTTTTGCCATGTCTTCACAAATAGTCTTGGGAACCAGGAAGCATGACATGGTGTAGTTTGGGATGGTTTCAACCACTGATTTTAAAAGGACTTCCTTTCTTCCATTTGAAAGGAGGAGTTCATGCCATTTGAATGTTTTGGACCTGATTCTTCCAAGCAAGTAATAAAAATGACCATTTTTTATATGCCAATGGTTGTAGGGAGGCCTAGGTAAATACCTGGGTTCTCTACCTTTTTTATGCTTAGTCTTCTAGTCATTTTCTTTTGCAATCTTGGGTGGAAATTTTTGCTAAAGAAAACCTCATATTTTGAAAAAATTTACCTATTGACCAAACGACCTTTCATACAACTGTATTGCTTCCACCAGAATTTGGCTTTCAGATGGTTTTGCCCTCGTAAAGAGGTAGCTGTCATTTGCAAAAAATAGGTGGGATATTACTAGGCATTATCTATTTAGCTTCATTCCAGAAACTCTCTTATGCAAAACAAGGTGATGAAGGTAAGCAGAGAATACTTCAGACACAAATAGGAACAAATATGGGGACAAGGGATCTCCTTGTCTGAGACCCCTTTCTGGGTGGAAAGGTTTACCAGGAACTCCGTTTACAAGAATCTGATATGACACTGTTGTAATGCATTATAGATTCCAATTAATCTATTTGTCCCCAAAGCCCAACTTTTTTAACACTTTCTCTAAGAAACCCCATTCTACTCTGTCATAAGCCTTGCTCGTGTCAAGTTTAATTGCCATCTAGGCTTTTTTCCCCTTACATTTTTTCATGTAGTCAATTTTTTCACGGGCAATGAGAATGTTGTCATAAATTTGTCTACCTGGAATGAAGGCATTATGATTTTCACTGGTAATTTTTAGGAGTAGTAGTTTCAATCTATTGACTAAGATCTTTGCTATTATTTTGTAGTTGGAACAAAGGCTAATTGGTCTGAAGTGGCTTGCTTCAGTGGGTTGTTTAACATTGGGAATTAGGGCTATGAAGGTTTTTTTTTATTTCTTTGTTTAGGTGATTGGATCTGAAAAACTCATAGATGGCTTTGCAAATATCAGGTCCAACTACCTCCCAATTTTTTTGGAAAAAAATATTTTGAAAACCATTAGGTCTTGGAGCTTTAAGGGGGGCCATCTGAAACAGTTCTTCTTTGATTTCCTCCTCTTCCAAATCCCTCTCTACCCATCTATTATCTTCCTCTGTAATTTTCCTGCTTAGAGTCTCCAACAAGCCTTCGGAGTTCTGAGTACCTGAAGAAGTGAAAATATTTTCAAAGTAGCTATTTAGCACTTCTTTTACTTGGTTCTCACCTTCTACCCAAATTCCAGGTTCCTTCTCCAAACTTAGGATTCTATTTCTTCTTCTCCTTTTCAAAGTTTGGGCATGGAAGAATATTGTATTCCTGTCTCCATGCTAGAGGCAGTTTATTATGGATTAATAAGCCCACATTTGTTCCTCCCTAGAAAGCCAAGTCGTCAATTCTGATTCCAGAGTCTTCACTTTGTCTTCATTTTTCCTTTCCATATTCAATTATGTTTCCAGAGATTTTTTGATCCTTTCAATGTTGTGCTTTACATTTCCAAAAACCAGCTTGTTCCAGCTCCTTAGCCTTTGCTGGAGGTTTTCTAGATTCTTCCGTAGATTACTCTGGGGGGATCTCGAGGAATAATCACACCAACTATATTGAATAGTATCCTTAAAATTTTCATGGGAGAGTTACATGTGTTCCATTCTGAAAGGCCTAACTCTCTTTCTTAGAG